CTGCTGCTGCTGCTGCTGCTGCTGCTGCTGATCTGCGCAGGGCCCCACCTGCCACTTTTCCCTGTTTGTTCCGCAGGTGAATTTGCAGCACTGCGTGAGACCGCGAGGACTCGTCGTTCACAGAGTTCGCGCCTGCACACCCAGCAGCAAAGACCCCCTGCAATGCACCCAGCAGCAGCAGCAGCAGCAGCAGCAGCAGCGGAATGCGCAATTAATCAGACACGCACCAATCCGACGCAGCTCCATGCCCCCAACAATTCGCCGCAGCAACTCGTCTTCTGTGGAGACCTCGTCTTCTCGCAAGTCTGCAGCAGCAGCAGCAGCAGCAGAAACAGCAGCAACGGCAGCAGTGAAGAAAAGCAGACAGTCCCAGCGCATGCAGCAGCAGCACAGAAGAAGCGCACCTTTTACTATGACTTCCTTCTTGCCGTTCTCAAGGGCAGCAACAAGCTTCCTGAAGCAACCCAGAGCAGCAGCAGCAGCAGCAGCGACATTGCATCGCCCACATCCCGCCTCCTGATGACCGACCGTAGCCGCAGCAGCAGTAACAGCAGCAGCAACAGCAGCAACAGCTGCAGCAGCAGCAGCGGTGACACAGCCAGCAGCAGCAACAGCGGTGGCAAAGCCACCAGCATCAGCAGCAGCAGGAACAGCAGCAGCAGCAGCAGCAGCAGCAGACCTGTCTTGCAGAAGGTCGAAGAGTCTGCCGTTGTAGATTTCAAAAAAAGAAACATGAACTGTTCTTTTGTTTTCCTCTTCGCTTAAATAAGAAAAAATGTCCCGCGCGGCCAATGCAAAAATGCCCTCTGAAGCAAACACGCCCCAAACCCTAAACCCTAAACCCTAAACCCTAAACTCTAAACCCTCGGGCTTCCCTGCCGGTCCCTGCAGGAAAAGAAATGGGTGGCGGCCGCACTGGGCCCCGCGCTGCCCGCTCCACTGTCTAGGGTTTAGGGTTTAGGGTGCGCGTTCGAATTAGGGTTTAGGGTTTAGGGCTGGGGTTTGAATTAGGGTTTAGGGTTTAGGGTTTAGGGCTGTCGGACGGTGCTCGGGGGGCTGGCTGGCGCTGCTGGAGGCCTGGGGCCCGAGCATGGTGTAGGTCTTGCCGCTGCCAGTTTGGCCGTAAGCGAAGAAAGAACAGTTTGCTGCTGCGCTGCAGCAGCAAACCACGAGGGGCCCCACAACCTGTCTGTACACCTCAGAGTTCGAAGCAAACTCGTCAAACGCCCGGTCCACCCGAAACTCGTGCCGCAGCACGTACGGAGTCAGGTCGACCTTTTCCCTGCAGCCGCACACGCTCCTGCTGCTGCTGCTGCTGCTGCTGCTGCTGCTGCAGGTGCTGGTAGTGCTGCAGGTGCTGGTGCTGCTGCAGGTGCTGGTGCTGCTGCAGGTGCTGGTGCTGCTGCAGGTACTGGTGCCGCTGCAGGCGCTGGTGCTGGTGCTGCTGCAGGTGCTGCAGTTGGTGCTGCAGCTGATGCTGCAGCAGCAGGTGATGCGCGGCTGTAGCATTTTGGCTGCTGCTTCTCTTTGGTTTTCTGCTGCTGCAGAAGTTACACTAAATAAAAGTTCTGCTGCAGCGGCTGCTGCGCAGATCTGCATTTGCTGCTGAGCCAAGTGTCTGTGCCTTTCTTGTGGCTCCATAAGAAGCCCAAATCGAAAATGGCAATTGGGACTTGGGTTTAGGGTTTAGGGTTTAAGCACTTCTAAGTCTTTTAATTTATTTTATAAATTCAAAAGAAAGAGAAGAAGGCCAAAGAGGAGAGCAGCCGCAGCACGAAAGGCCGGGCGGCGCCTTCCGCGCTGCAGCCTTTGCTGCAGCACCAGCAGCAGCAGCAGCAGCAAGTAAACACTAACCCCACCCACCTGGGCTCCTCCAACACAACTGTCTGCCCCCCCTTCACTCTCACAAGGTCTGTTTCTCTCCTCATTTCCTCCAGGGCACTCAGGGGCCTCTTCCTCACCACCACAGCAATCCGGGGCAGGGGGCCCCCCGGGGGCCCCAGGGGCCCCTGGGGACTTCCAAAGGAAGTCTCGCAGCCCCCGCTGCCGGGGGGAGACTGAAGAGTCTGAAGGGGAAAAGAAACAAAAGGAGAAAAGGGAAATGCATGCAGAGAGAGGGCTAGAGGCGTGTGCAGCAGGGGCTGTCTTGTGCGTTTACTGCAGCAGCAGCAGCAGCAGCAGCGGGCTGCGGCGCACCTCCTCTGGCCGCATTTGCCGGGGGCGATTGGCAGAAAACACAAAAAAGGAGACAGAGAAAATGAAAGAAAGAAATATGAAAATGCATGCGCTGCAGCAGAGCCCCGAGTTGCCCAGCCGGGCTAGCAGCAGCTGGCGCAGCTCCGGGCCTCTTGCTGCTGCTGCTGCTGCTGCTGCTGACGTGTACAGACGCCCCAAGTCGGGGGCCCCTGCTGC